AGCGCCTTCGATACGACCCGCGCCCCCCCTCAGCCCCCGCGTCTCCCTCACATGCCGAGCGAGGAGGAGAGGCCCGCTCTTTCTCTCGGTCTCTGGCTCACGCAAGCGCGCTGGGTGCGCTGGAGGGCGAAATGAAGGAGACGCCTCACGCTCGCCCGCCCGCGCGCCGCATGCGAGGACCCTAACCCTCAACGATTGGCGGGCCCGGCCAGGCCGTGCACCTGTCCGCAGCCCCGCGTCCGCCCTCCGCCGCCGCCTGTCACAGTCACCTCCCGGAGCCGCGGCAAGTGTTCCAAAGAGCCGCATGCGGCTCCGGAGCCGCGGGTTGCCGACCGCCGCCCTGGGCTGAAGATCTACAGGCACCATTTCACCACCCACAGTTCATCCAAGCTCTTCTCAGGGAAAACTGTGAGGATAAATGAGGCCACAGAAATTCACCCGCCATTCCAAGGAAGGCGCAGGCAACACACCGTCCCAAGACAGAGATCTTCAGCCCCTACCTGCCAATCCCTCCTCTTCATCGCAGCCCGGGAGAAACAGCCCTTCCTCTTCTTCCAGCCGGGATATGAGGTCAGGTTTGGCCATCGGAGGTCCTGTTTAGAAAAACACACAAAATCAGACCTCTTCTGTGTGCCCATAAATAAAACAATTCCAAGCCAGTTAGACTGTCCCTCCAGAAACACACAACAGGCAAGTAATAGGACTGGGATGGAGGACAGTATATGGGGTCAAGACTCATCCCTTCTTTGTTATCCTGAGACTCTGTAAGAGCATGGCTATGTGGCCATGCACACATGTACACCCAACTCTGGGCCTCTTGGGACCTCAGCCTCTCTATGCACAGACTGAAGACGGGTGCAGTACCTTCCCACAAAACACTGAGACCCTTCTTTTAAAAGGGTTGACATTGATTAAGTGTAAAGGGAAAGAAGACTGAAAGGAGAATTTTAAAGGCAGCTGGCACTCACAACACTTAAAATATCTTTTCAGAGAGGCTTCTGGTCTTGGCGTTCGCTATGGTGGTCACTCTCCTGGACCTCCAGGAGACGATCGCCAGAACCCGTGGCTAGGAGGGGGTGCGATTGTACGCATTCCCCATGGAACCCTTGCTGATGGGTTCCAAGCCATGGGGTGCTAGATGGCTTCTCTGCCGGCGATCCTGCCGGTGAAGAGGGGGGCATCCATGCCCCGACGGTGCAGCCGCAGAGTTTCCTAATGAAACTAGAAGCGCACACTGGATCAAGCGCTGGGTGACCTAGCGAAATGAAAACCGTTTAACCATTGAACTGTGAGTTAAGTTGAAGTGAGAACATTGAAAAGAGCTAAAAGCAGCCCCGCGGGAAGCAAGGGGGGGGAGGAGACTCCCCTCCGATAAGACAAACTTAAAACGAACTCTATCATTAAAGCAGGGGGGCAGGCTTTCAAAGCGAAAAAGACTGAAATAAAAGGCTTTTAAGAACTTACCAAGCATAATTGAGAACTTTAGAGACTGTGATAACTTCTGACGAAAAGTAAACAATTCCTCAAAAAATGGCGCCTCCCATGAGGAAAGAGGAGAAGGAGAAGATAGTGAAAGCTACCGGAAGTGCCAGCCCAGCGAGTACTGTGCCCAGACAGGAGACAAACTCAGACCTTCAAAGGATATTAAATTAAGCACTACGCCCTCTGCTGGAACAAGTGACAGAGATAAATCGAAAGTTGGATATGCAGCAAGCTCAAATTAACGAGACTGTCAAAAAAACAGACCAAACGGACCAGAAACTCAAAGAAGTGGACACCAACAACAAAAAGCTGCAAAAACAAACGCAGACAATGGAGAAGAAGTGACAAAGAGACGAGTCCCAACCAATGCTCCCTCTAAGCTGTGGAGTCCTGTGAGCAAAAATTCTACTTTTTGAGCTACCGGCATTAAAGCTGTGAGCAGGTGATTTGGCTGCTGCATCAATTAATTTGCTCCGGAGCCGTCCCTTCCTGAGCTGAGACAAAAAACAAGTGAGCTGGAGGCTAAAAAACTGTGAGCCAGCTCACACTAACTCAGCTTAGACGGAACCCTAGTCCCAACTGCTACAGTTACAAATGGAAAAGGCAAGCCATGCCCTAAGGTTTCAGGGAATTTCTGAGGAAAAAGGGGAGAATCTCACACAGTCAATGTGCGAAGCATTGGAGCAAATGGCAGATATTACAGTGGATACGTTGCAAAATGATATTGATACGGTCTATAGATCGTGTACAATATTCACAAGGAATAATAATCTGCCAGGAGAAGTGATGGTGAGATTCTTCAGAAGGAATGTCAGAGATAACATTCTCAAAGCGGCTAACGGAGTTACCCTGAAAATTAAGGGCAAAGAGATAAAGGTTTTAAAGGATATTCCATTTGAAGTAAGGAAGAGAAGGTGCAGATATAAAGACTTGGTCACAATTCCAAAAAAGAAACAAATTGTCTACAGATGGATTCTGCCTGAAGTAGTCATCTTTAAATTGGTGAATGGAAAAGAAAAAATTGACACTGTGGAAAAAGCAAGTGAATTCCTGCATCTTCATTGCCGCCCAGCAGATGGAAAAAAAGAAAAAGAAAAAGACAGTCCCAAAAAGAATGGCGGAGATGGAGCGGAGTCATCTTCTGGTGAAGAATGAGACTCAAATTTGGGGGCAGCAGCCCCAAAACGAGGCTATATATTGAGGAAACCAAAGGCGAAAAAATGATTTGTTGTTATAACTCTGAAGTTCTAAAAAAGGTTTAAAATAAACTTTCTTAGGCTCTTTATAAAGTCATAGTAGACGATGTTTAATTTTGAGCGGAAGTTTAATAGAAAGATGATGAACATGTTCAACGATTTTATACGAACATTTAACTATATAAGCTTGTAATCTTGTTAAGGCAATTTGTATGACACCCACTCTTGGGTTTTTAGAGGTTTCCTTCCTTTATCCTTATAGTTTGTAGACCCTCCCTTATTTTTTCATGTAGTGTTTAGTTATAGAATATGCAATAAAAAAATCCCCTTCGGGGGGCTAAAAAAAAATCTATTCGGGTAATTCTGAATTCAGCCATTACTAAGATCTTTGATGATTAAAACATGCAATTATGGCCGATTCATGGCCAGTCCATGAGAGAATTGTGGGGTTGTGTGCAGTCCCTGAAGAACATGCGAGAAGGAAGGCTAGGCTATGGCTGGATGGCTACAGCAGAGCTGGCTGAAACTAAAACCAGTGAAGATGGAGGTCCTGTACCTTAGCCATGGGGGTTTGGGATTGGGAATTCAGCTCCTAACTCTTGGTAGGGCACTGCTGACACCAGCACTGAGGGTAAGGACCCTAGGGGTAATTCTGGATGCTTCACTTTCATTGGAGGCCCAGGTCACCCTGGTTGCCAGGTCAGCCTTCTACCATCTTTGGCTGATCAGGCAGCTGGTTCCCTATCTTACCTCCTAGGACTTAGCTACAGTGATCCATGCAATGGTCACTTCCAGGCTGGATTACTGTAACTCACCCTATGTGGGACAACCCTTGAACCTGACCTGGAAACTGCAGCTAGTGCAAAATATGGTGGTATACCTGCTGATGGTGACATCTGTGTGGGTGCATATTCAGTTGGTGTCACGCCAATTGCACTGGCTGCCAATTGATTATCAGGCCCAGTTAAAGGTCATGGTATTGTCCTTCAAAGCCCTATGCGGCCAGGGACCAACATACCTACGGGACTGTCTCTCCCCATATGTGCCCCAGACAGCTTTACACTCTGCAGAGCAACATCTCCTGGCAGTCCCCGGCCCGAAAGACATCCACTCAGCCTCAACCAGGGCCCGGGCTTTCTCTCTCCTGGCCCCGGTCTGGTGAAACGTGCTCCCAGGTGAAATCAGGGCCCTGCGGGATTTATTACAATTCTGCAGGGCCTGTCAAATGGAGCTCTTCCGCCAGGCCTTGGGGTCGTCCAACCGTCTTGGCCTCCTCCTCCTCCTCCTCCTCCTCCTCCTGCAGGGCTTGCAGCACGTCTTCTCTTTGCCCGGCACACAGAGGCCAACAGGGCATCACTGCAGGAGGCCCTATGAATCTGCCTTGCCTGGCTGCCATCTATCTGATTGGACTGAAACTTGGTTTTAAATTTTACCTTTTAAAGTTTTGTTTGTTCTGTTTCAGCTCTGTTTCCATTGTTATTATGTTGTTGATTGAAACGTCCTGAGCCTGCTTGCAGGAGAGGGCAGGAGAGAAGTCGAATGACTCAAGGCCATTCCCCTGGAGAAAAGGGCTGCTCTGGAGGGTGGGCTGCTGGGGCATAATCCCCGGCTGGGGCCCCTCCCCAGGCCTCCCGCCCCCCCCCCCAAATCTCCAGGCACCTCCCAGCCCAGAGCTGAAAAACCCTACCTGTAGCACATAACATGATTCAGAGTTGTCCAAGATGTTCTTTTTATACCGTTATTTTTTATCTCAGCAATGTAACTATTGCACAATCACACCCCTGGGCATCATCACTTACAGGTTAGATTCTCCCCACTGCATCTATAAGCATATGCTGACAAAGTGGATCAATCCAGTCAGTGAAATCTCTCTCACTCCTGCCCCATCAAGGCATTTACACAGCTGAGGCAGCCCCCCCAACCACCCCCACCCCGTGGCTGTTTGACTAGGTTGCCTGGACCGGCTCTCCAAAGTGCTCTAGCTGGGAGGGGGGGGCAGAGCACCCACTTGCCAAGCCGAAGGCCCCAGCATCAACCCCCCACGTCTCCAAGCAGCTGGGATAGAAAAGGCCAGAAACAGCTGCTGTTCAGCACAGAGAGGCCTGGGCTAGGGGAGGCTGTTCCTCAGAGGGAAGCGTCAGTACCAATGCTCCCTCTAAGCTGTGGAGCCTTGTGAGCAAAAATTCTACTTTGTGAGCTCCTGGTATTAAAGTTGTGAGCCAGCGACTTGGCCGCTGCATAAATTAGTTTGCTCTGGAGCCCACCTTCCTGAGCTAAGACAAAAGATGTGTGAGCTGGAGGTTAAAAAACTGTGAGCCAGCTCACACTAACTCAGCTTAGAGGGAACAGTGATCCCCCCCCCCCAATACCTGGGCTGGCTGCATGGCGGCTCTTCTCCCTCCAGTGCACAGAGGAGAGGGCGGGGGAGGCATCCGGGGGATCCTTCCACTCCTGCCTGAGAGCGAGAGAAAAAACAAGGGGAAGAGCCAGTTTGGCATAGTAATTAAGTGCGCGGACTCTAATCTGGGAGAACCGGGTTTGATTCCCCCACTCCTCCAGTTGCACCTGCTGATGTGACCTTGGGTCAGTCACAAGCTCTGGCACAGCTGTCCTTGAAAAAGAGCAGTTTCTGTCAAGAGCTCCCTCAGCCCCACCCACCTCACAGGGTGCCTGTTGTAGGAGATGGAA